AGCAATTAATCTACATTGTGGCTAGCACCGGCTTAATTGAAATTGTACATTTCATTGCCCGGCCAGAGCAGAATACAAGTAGACTTCCAAACTTCACGCACACACACACGTGCACACACACAAACACTCACAAACACAAACTCACACAAACACACACACATACTCTCAAATGCCCGTATCGTACAGCGAGATATTTTATCACGCGCCATGTACATTACGGTATAATGTATCAATGATCGTATAAACGCACTGATTGTTTAAACAATTAAATAAAAACAGATGACTTATGTACACAAATAATAACACATACACACACACACACGTACACCACACGTACACACATACACACACACACTTTCACGCCGCTCTTAGATGCACAGATCTTTATATAAAAATATGATTTTTACACACACACTCACACACATGCAATCTCATACACACATACACAAACATACTTACATACATAATGAGATACATCATACCGGTATACATACAAAACATAAGCACATCATCATCAACAGCAGCAACACGCAAGGTTTAATATAAAAGTCTTTTTTTCAAGTATATTCCGCGGATCTCGAAGATGAAGAGATGCATTAAACATTCATACAACTCTGTGCCGGCGCAATCAAATTTACATTGAGATAAATCTGTTAAAAATAAATGGATGAATAAATATTTATTAATTTTTAAATAGATAAATATGTTGGTGTTTGAATGTACGTGTGTATGTATATATATGTGTGTGTGTGTGTGTGTGTGTGTGAACGTACGTATGTATACAAACATATATACATATGTACATACATACATACATACAAAAGCATTTCATTTGAATGAACGCATAAATATACACATTCTATGGCTTGTATGGCAACTTTGAATAATTAAATTTCTAAGAATATCTGTTTGTTGGCTTGGTTGCTACAGACCGTTCGTTCGTTTGTTTGTTCGTTTGTTCTTCCGTTCGTTCGTTCGTCGTTCGTTTGTTATATTTCATCTTACCCACCTACAGTGAATAAGTTTTTCGCTTAACCACCTACTATCTTTTCAATTTATCTCCCTCTCTTTCTTCCTCTCCCCCCCCCCCCCTCTCTCTCTATCAAAGTTGTGCACTCCCTTATTTATTCTCTCCTTTCATCTCAAATTTATTTTATAGTTACTTTTTTATATCTTTCATACTGCTCTTTCTTCATCTCTCTTTCTTTCTTTCTCTCTCTCTCTTTCTCACTCTCTCCTTTTTTCTCTCTCGCTCTATATCACTTTCTTTCCATCCATACTTTTCAATCTACTCTTCAGTTTATTTATTGAAATTCTTTCAGAGCTAATTCGGATTGATTAAAATTCTTATTCAATTTTTTATTAATACATTTTTTTGTCGGGTGGAATGAATCAATATAAATTTGCCATTTTCGCTACTAAGGATCCAAATCACTCCATTATTTTTGTGCTAATTTTGTTTGAGGTTGCGTTAGTTCCAAAAAGTATTTCATAGTTTATTATTTCGAAAAACGAGTTTCTTTGTTCTGTGAAAAAAGTTTTTAAATTAAATTATGAAAAATTCAGTTTTTTTTGAAAACGGTATGAGAAAATTTGTCGCTTACTCATGCAAAAGTTGAATAATTCATTAAAGAATCTTTTTTATAAAAAAAAAATGCGAGACACGAAGCGAAGAAGAACAAAGATGAAATAGCGGAAAATAAAATCAAAACGTAAACAAAAAATAAAAAACTGCCTACGGCTATTTTAAAAAAACTTCACAAGAATACGAAGAAAAAATATAAAAAATAGATAAATAGATATATCTTCAGCACAAACAGAATAAAAAAAATAAATGTTTAACAGAATAATAATGATAATAAAACTAAACAAAATAATAATGAACAAAAATAAATTTAAAACGCGGCCTTTGTTGTGACGTGCCTTAATCTGTGCCGAAGATGAAATAAAGATGGAGAAGAGGGAAAAGAATAGGATGCTCAAACCGGTAAATTGATTGGCCCGAGGCCTCTCAGCTTCCGACGCATGTTCGAATCCTATCAATTCTCATTACCCGTATTGTCCATTTTGATGAGTGCTTGCTGTCTGTCTGTGTGTGTATCTGTGTGTGTGTGTCTGTGTGTGTGTGTGTGTGTGTGTCTGTGTGTCGGTCTGTTTGTCTTTCTGTAGGTATGGACCTCATCAAATCTTCCTAACATCCAATTCATTCTTTACTATTAATCACATTCTGACTGTTCAGCAGCTGCGTAAATATGAGAACACGCACACACACGCACACACGCACGCACAGACAAACAAACAACCGCATACACACACGCGTGGATACTTATAAGAATTCAATGCAGAGAAGCTTAAATAAACATTTATAAGTGTGAGTGTGTGCGTGAGTCATTCGCATCTGTGTGCGCGCGCGTGTGTTCAATGTATCAATGTTTCAATATCTAGCAATTCTTAATTGAAAAGCACATAAGTGCGTGCGTGTGTGTGTGCGTGTGTGTGCGTGTGTATGTGAATGTGTGTGTGTGTGTGTGCGTGTGTGTGTGTGCGTGTGTGTCTGTGTTCGTGAGTGGCATTTTTTTAAGTGGATTGGTGGCATTTTAAATTAATAACGCAATTGAATAATGGTTTACTTGTAGATAAGTAGGCTCGTTTAACGAAGGATGAGAGAAAGAGTGAGAGAGAGAGAGAGAGAGAGAGAGAGAGAGAGAGAGAGAATGCAAATTTGTGTGCATATGCCTTCACTCACTCACTCACTCACTCACTCACTCACTCACTCACTCACTCACTCACTCACTCACTCACATAGATCACGTAATTTTGTTTATTTATGATGCGGTCAGTCTGGTTGGTTTGTTTCTTTTTTGTGATGGCTCTGAATTCTTCCATCATCATTTTCGTCATCATTTACAATCAATCGTTATCATTAAATATCTGAAAGCCATCATCAGTATCTTCATCACCATCCGAATCATCATCATCATCATTGGCATTGTTAACAGCTTACCTATGTAATTAGCCTAAACGGATCTTGTTAAACTAGCACCATCAACGCCATCGTCAGCGTCATCATCAACAACAACAACGTCATCATCTTCTTCTTTTTCATCTTCATCATCATCAGCACTTCTTCTATCATCATCATCACCATCATGATCAAAACTAATTTTTAATGTAACTTTAATTACATACCCAGTGACAGCGATGACGATGAAGTTAAACTTTTTCCAAAATTGACCACGTGACTTAGCAACCGGTTCGAGCACTTTTATTACTTGACCTTCATTGGCCTTCGTGTAACCTTGAACTGACCTAGATTGCTCTTACGTCATTGGTTGACTGGTTAGGTAGCGGTGGACTCGTACGTTATGAATGATGGCATGTATTTAATTGCTTTTTTTAGGTGCACTTATTTTATTGCTGGTGAACTGCATTCGTTTATTTATTCATTCATTCATTTGTTCGTTCGTTCGTTCGTTCAATAAATTATTCGTTTTTTCGTTTTTTCTTTCGTTCATTCGTTCACTGATTCATTTGTCAACCTTGCGTTAAATCTTTTACCTTTAAAAATTTATTCTCAGTTGAAAACAACCGCACAATTTTACAACCAAACTACCCGACAGCCACCCACTACACGACAGCCACTCACCACACGACAGCCACCCACCACACGACAGCCACCCACCACACGACAGCCACCAACCACAAGATGCAACAGGACACACGCGACTCATGTGAATTCTGATAAGCTAAAAACATTGGCCTGCGTGGATTTAGAATTTAAATAAGCGAGGCACACGCCAAGCAAGGAATTTGAAATTGATTAAGTCAGACCCAGCCGAGCAATTGATGTTTAAAGTCTCCCTGAGATGAATTTTTCCCGCCAACCTGCTCCGAAAACACTTTTTTATCTTTGCTACTTTGTATACTTGTTGTTTTGTGTCTTTGTTGTTTTGTATCTTTGTTGTTTTGTATCTTTGTTGTTTTGTATCTTTGTTGTTATTTTGCATCTTTGTTGTTTTGTATCTTTGTTATTTTGAATTTTTTTTATTACTTATCTTTGTTTTTGTGCACTTTTGGTTTTGTATAATTTTTAATATCTATGTTTTTTGTATGTTTTTCGTGTCTTTGGTTAATTGACAACATACAAACAACATCAAATTAATTTTACAATAACAACATCAACAACAACAACAACAACCTCATCAACAACAACAACAACAACATCAACAACAACATCAACAATAACATTGAAATGACATTAACGAAAATAATTTATCATAACACTAAATGCTATTGATATAAATCGCTTGCAATAAATCAGAATTTAAATGTACAACATACACACACATATGATATAAAACAGACAACAATATATACGTACAAATTTAAGTTGATGTGTGTTTTGTCAATTTGACCATATGAAGAGTCGTTGAAAAGGTTGATGACCATTACAATGATGATGATGATGATGATGATGATGACGATGACGACGGTAATGATAACGATGATGATCAGAACGATAATATTCAATTTAAACTGTTTCTTTTTCATAGTTATGACTACCACATTTCATTATTATTTTTTTAAGAATGTTAAATCATCATCATCACCATTATTATTATAATTAATTATTATTATTATTGTTAATTATTATTGTTATTGTTGTTGTTATTAATTATTATTATTATAATTATTATTAACTGACCGCTGGCATGAGTAGCGTAACATTATCCCAGGCCGTTCTGTTATCCAAACCAAAGTATGACATGGTTAGCATCAAAGTTAATGACTCTCTCTCTTTACCCACTCTCTTTCTCTCTCTCTCTCTCTCTCTCTTTCAATCTCTCTCTCTCTCTCTCTCTCTTTATCTATCTCTCTTCATCTCTCTCTCTCTCTCTCTCTCTCTCTCTCTCTTTCTCTCTCTCTTTTACTGCTTTTTTCATTAATATTTTATTATTAATAATATTGTTTATGTTATATTAGGATTATTATTAAATTACCATTATTAAATCATCATATTGTCCGTTGTTTATTCTTTTTGGTGATATTTAAATCATCCTTGCAAGTTTCATCGTCATCATCATTGTCATCATCATCATCATCGTCGTCATCATCATCGTCGTCGTCATCATTATCATAATTTTCACAATACATAACGCTTCTTTTATTAACACATAAAAATCTCGACAAAAATAATAATATTATTATTACCGGTTTTATTGTTTTGCAGTTGGAAAATGTGTGTGTGCGCGCGTTTATGTGTGTGTGTATATGTGTGGTGTATGTGCGTATGTGTGCTCGTTTGTATGTATGTTTGTTTGAAAATGTATGTTTGTATTTGTTTGTTTAATTTATTTGAATGGTTTTGTGTTTGTGTGTATGTGTATGTATGTGACTGTATAAATGTGCGTGCGTCTCTGTGTATTTAATAAAAAGTTACAGTAGAATAAAGCGATTATTAGGTTGTTAAATGTGAATAAAATGAACCTTATGTATTCGCTCATTTCGAAAGAAAGAACATTCTAGAGCATGTATTTATGATGACGATGACGATGATGGTAATGATGGTAATGATGGCGACGATGATGATAATGATGGCGACGATGATGTGTTGATGATGATGATGACGGTGACGATGATTCTATACATTATGCATACAAAGAAATGAACATTGAAATAAAGCTAGTAGATTTCTCTATATTCTTTCTTCCTTTCTCAGGTACCTCTCTCTCTCTCTCTCTCTCTCTCTTTTTTTCTATTGTTTCTTTTTCTCTTTCTTTATATACTACATATTTATAGGATTTCTTTACATATATTTTTAAGTATATACACTCCCTTTTTCTACTTCTTTCTATCTGTCCCTTCCTCTTTCTTTCTCTTTCCCTATCTCTCCCAAATTATTTTCCTCAATGTGTTTGTATGTGTATCATATTATCCTGATGATATCTATCGCGATATCCAATCATAAAAAAGACCACCAGCCCTGATTCTTGCAACAACGCCAGCAATTAACACCTCAATCTTGAAAAACTTAAACACGTGTATTTGCTATTAAGTTCGTGTTGTTGCTTATGTGTTAATTTGGATGTTAATCTGTTTAACTATTTGTCAATTTCTTTCTCTCTCTCTTTCTTTCTTTTTCTCTCTTTCTCTCTCTCTTTCTTTCTTTTTCTCTCTTTCTCTTTCTCTTTCTCTCTCTCTCTTTCTCACTTAAAATATCGTGTTTTAATTTGTGCGCCAAACAGCTCAAGTCTTATTCACAGTAATAGCTACATCTCTCTCTCTCTCTATTTTATTGCGTGTTTATTGAGGAGTGTGTTGATATTCACATGTGGAATTATGCTTCATCGCCGTGTGTTTGTAAAAGTTAATGGCTCGATTCGCTAAACTCCATGCGTGTATTAAAAAAGATGATGCATACGACGACGATGATGATGACTACTAATATGACAAGAAAAAGTTATTATCAATAAGACAGTATATACAATTTACACAAACTATTACGATACATAGTGTTTTAACAATCATCTTGTAGCTTATTTTTGGGTATTTTGTATGCTCACGCATTTGTGGGTATTGTTTATGTATTGAAAATTATTACTTAGACCTTGTATACATCGAGTATAATGCTATAGACTGTAATAAGAAGATAATGTAAGTTCTTTTTACGAAAATTGTGCCTTTAATTTATTATTAACGTAAACAAATTCTCAGTTGCGCGAATTGATTTCAATTTATTTATCGTTGTCATTAGTGTGTGTGTGTGTGTGTGTCTTGTGTGTGTGTTTAGTGTGTGTGTATGTGTGTCTTGTGTAAATTTAGCTTAACAGTAGGTAGATATGGAGGTATGGTAGAGGAAAGTCTACATGTTTGTATATTTGCATACGTTTTAAATTGCATTTGTCTGTTGGTGTGTTTACTTTTTAAGAATATTTTTCAATTTTGCAACAATTTTGCAATTATTGTTTGCATGTAACCTGATAACGTCTGTTCACCTCTGTATTTTTTGCTCCTCTGCACGTAATCACTACTCAATCAATCGACACGACCTCAACCAGCCGAGCGATCGTCCGTGCAACATGAAACCAAACAAAACAAAACACTCAATAGATAAAACACAAAACGATGTATGTATGTGTGTGTATGTATATGTGTGTGTTGTGCGTGTGGTTGTGTGTGTGTTGTGTATGTGTTGCGCGTGTGTGTTGTGTGTTTGTATATGTGTTGTGCGTGTGTGTGTGTGTGCTGTTTATGTGTGTTGTGTGTGTTTGTGTATGTGTTGTGTGTGTTATGTGTGTGTGTTAATTCGACAAATACTATAATAAAATACAATTTGTAGATTTAATGTACGGTGTATGTCAGTTAGCAGGTTAAAACTGGATTCTCAAGAAATAAATTTATGTCGAAATTTCCATTATCAATTTATACCTTTTTATACATAAGTGATTGAGTGTTAATGAATCTCAATAGAATTAACTCTCAGTCTAATTCATTATAATCAACGCCATATATCAAAAGAATCGAACTATAGTCTATAGTGGATGTTCAACATTATATAAAGATAATATTCGGTCGATTCGAGTTAATATATATCAAAAAAGTTGGTTTTCCATTATTAAATTATACATTCACGCACACACAAAAATACACACACACATAAATACATGTACATGCACAAACACATACACACACACACAGATATATATATATATAAATATTTATATACAGTAGTTTAGAAAAGTCAGAGCATTTTCAGCGTTAAATTAATTTTGAGATTTTAATAAGGAAAGAAATGCCTAATGGTTGCTTTGATATTAACTTTATCATACTCGCTCAATCAACACCATGACCTCCAATGATTACGAATCTCATTGTTGATGCTACTGTTGATGCTGACGGCTGTGGTTCGAATACACGCCAAACCAAATTGGATATCCTTTACAGATTAAGACACACACACACACACATTACAGTGCATTTGTTTCACACATACATACTATACGTACGTGACAAAGCGTTATAACCACGATTTAATTATGAATTTATGTTTATGTTTGTGTTTGTTTGTGTGTATGTGTGCTCAAATTTTTGGTTCAGGTTGAAAAAATTCAAGAAGATATATTTTGAAAAAGTTGATGATTGAATGAGTTGCAGCTGAATGATAAATACCTACAAAAATATAACAAAAGTTTTTCTTTGATTGATCTGAATAGAAATAATAAACAAAAATAAACTATAGAAAACACAGAAATGAAAATATAAAAAATGGCAAACCAAAAAATTTTATTTCGAAGAAAAATTGAGAGGTCACGTGGAAAAAATATTGAAATTAATACCCATGATGTTATAATTGGGTAAAGTTTTATCATGTAACACCTACTTATACACGCCACACACATTGGCAGAAACAAACGTGGTTTCATAAGTATGTGTGTATGTGTGCGTGCTTCTGTCTGTCTTTGTTGTGTATGTGTGTGTGTGTGTGTGTGTGTGTGTGTCTGTGTGTGTCTGTGTGTGTCTGTGTGTGTCTGTGTGTATGCATCTCAATCGGTCATCGTTGTATCTATGCACACATCAACAACTGTTCATTTGTTGGGGTAGTGTCTCAATGGTCGCCATGATCAATCTTATGCATGTTTGTTTGTTTGTGTTTGTTTGTTTGTATGTGTATGTATGTGCGTGCTTGTTTGTTAGTGTTGTCACTGCTTAAGTGATTTAGTTATTTTTGTTAGAGTTTTTTTTATTAGAATTTTGCATGAGTAACAAAACATCCTTGCCATCGTGAAGCTATCTGTAGAAATAGTTAAAACAACAACATCCCCACCGCAACAACAGCAACAACAACATCAATGACAACAACAACAGAGAAAAACAACAACAACAACATCAGGAACACTAACAACAAGCTTTTGATACATTAATTGCTGTCAGCGTTGTCATTAACATTCTTCCGCTTCCAAGAAGTCCTAATCAATTTCTGCGTAGGCGTGTATGGTGGTTCGTAAATGTTTCTCTATCTCTCCCTTCCTCTCTCTCTCTCTCTCTCTCTCTCTCTCTCTCTCTCTTTCTCCCTCCCTTTCTCCCTTTCTCTCCTTCTCTCTTTCACCCTTTTTTATCATCTTTCTCTCTTTTTCATCCTCTCTATTTCAATCAATCAATCATTCATTCTTTCAACCATTCATTCATTCAACCATTCATTCAATCAAGCAATCATTCAATCAACCAAAAAACCAATCGCTGAATCATATAAACGACAGCGCACTAAAAAAGGCCAACCTTGACAAAAACATCTTCCCAAATCAACAAAGAGATAAAAAAACATAAACAAACAAAGATAAAAAAAAACATAAAAAAATATAAAAAACATAAACAAACAAAGATAAAAAAAAACATAAACAAACAAAGACAAAAAAAAACAATTTGATTATATTTTTCACTCATTTTCAAATTGTTTTCAACTCTCTGTGAACTGTACATATGTGAATGAACTTGTACTTGTTCGTCCGTGTTTTAGTTTTTTTCGTCACTTGTTTTCCGATATCTCTAGGTTCATTTATCTTGTGTGTTTTTTGTTCTTTTCTTTTTCTCATTCTCTCTCTCTCTTTTTTCTTTCTCTTTTTCTTTTTCTCTGTCTCTCTCTCTCTCTTGTTATTTTTTTTGTTCTCGTTTTTTTCCGTATTTGTTTTTTCAAAATTTAATCATTCAGCCAAAAAAACATCGTTCAATTTCATAATGTCTCAAATGTTTTCAATTCCACACACACACACACACACACACACACACACACACACACACACACACACACACACCGAGTACAAACACACACACACAAACATACAGACACACGGACTAAGCTTTCTCCCTCGATGCCTTCTTTAATTGATTGCGTTGGGTGATTAGGAAAGTTGTCCACAATGGCAAAAAAACAGCAATAAAAGTAGCAATAATAACAACAATTCATTATTATTATTATTATTATTATTTTTATTATTATTACACTACCACCGGATCAGATAACTGCAAACAGGATCTGGGAATGGGGTCGGGGATGATTCCAGATCCTTCCATCAGCGCCAGTTCAACTTATTACAAAAGTGTAGCGCCACAGCATGCCAGGTTTGTTATTGTTGTTGTTATTGTTGTTGATATTGTTGTTATTATTATTTATTGTTTTTGTTGTTGTTGTTATTATCATTATTGTTGTTGTTATTATTGTTATTATTATTATTCTTTTTGTTGTTGTTGTTGTTATTTTTATTATTGTTTTTGTTGTTGTTATTATTGTTTTTGTTGTTGTTGTTGTTATTATTGTTATTATTTTTGTTGTTGTTGTTATTATTGTTGTTGTTGTTTTTACTGTTTGTTAGTGTTGGCGTTTTTATTGTTGTTGTTGACCGAGTGTGGTCCATCAAAATGTTGTTGTTATGGTTGATGTTGTTGGCGATATTGTTGGTACTGTCGTCGCTGCTGTTGGTGGTTGGTTGTTGTTGGTTGTTGTTGTTGATGATGTTGTTGTTGGTAGCTGCTTTTGTTGTTTGTTGTTGTTGTTGTACTGATATAGTTGTTGTGATGTGGATTCTAAGTTTTTCGATTCAATTTTATTTACTTTTAAAACCATTACATTCAACGTGTTCCTACTCTATTCTACTACAAGTGCGTTCGAAGATTTCAATTCAAATTTGTTTTATTTTTTTGTTCCTACTCTGTTTTTGCTTTCCCAATTTCTTTGTAAGGTGAAAAAAAATTGAATTGAAAAGTTTTCTGTAAAATTGTTCGTTGGATACATAGATTCATTCATTATTTCGTTTGTTTATTGCTGTTGTTGTTGTTGTGTCTTTGTTTACACTCATGCACACACCAACACACGCATACATACACAAACATACACACACACATAAAAACGTCACATGCACACGTACCATCATTTAAGATTTCTAATATCATGATTTATGTCTATTAAATTTGATTTATCTGCTCTTAACACTAATTATCTTATATTTAGCACGCACATCCAATATATATAATGTACAATACGCATACACACATTTGTATGCGTATTGTACATAAATTTATGCATACATACACATAATACAAGCAGATACAAACACAAAAACTGTAGATATACTATACAAAAAAAAATGCATACAACTACAATAGAGAGTCACAAAATAAATAAATTCTACCAAGACATACGAACAAAAATACAAAGACATACAACGATATACAAACAAAGATACAAACATACAAAAGCGTACAACATCACGTAGACATGCGGCAAACAAATTAATTGGTTCACTTCATAAAGGATGCAAGAATAAGGATCAGTTCGTACTCGTCACATGATCTTTTGTGTGTGTGCGTGTGCGCGCGCTTTTTTATGTGCGTGTGTTATTATGTACGTGTGAGTGTGTATGTGCGAGAGTGTTTTACAGCCCCAACCCAATAGATAATATTTAACACTATGTTGTATGAATTTATAGCCGAATTTATGTTTGTATGTATGTGTGTATGTATGTATGTATGTATGTATGTATGTGTGTGTATGTATGTATGTATGTATGTATGTATGTATGTATGTATGTATGTATGTATGTATGTATGTATGTATGTATGTATGTATGTATGTATGTATGCATGCATGCATAGTACACACTCAGATGTATAATTGATTATACATGCATGTATACCCAGCCGTAGAATTATTCATGTACAGATATGTACAGTACATTCTCCTAATACTTCTTTATGGTGTTCAGTAGCATAACATACTACGAATATTCTTTGAATCAAAAGAAGGAAGAGCAAATACAGTAGCTACAGTAGCAGCCACAGCCCTCTATATTGTCTTCATTATTATCTCCGTAATTGTTACGTCACACCATAGATGTAAAACTGTTCTCTGTATCTATGCTGACGTTAAGCTTTTTTGAGATTTTTGATTTTGTGGGTGAGTGGGTGAAAATAAATGGTGACTAGGGGGATGAATTTTTTTTAGATGAATGAATGAATAGATGGATGGGTGGATAAATTGATGAAGTAACAAAGAAATAAATGAAGAAATCAATCGATCGATCGATCAATCAATCAATATTTTCCGATATTTTATAAAATTCAAAATGATATGACTGGTTTGAATTTTTCAATTTTAAAAACTAGCTCTGTGAAAAAATAAAATAAATAAAATTAAAAAAAATGAACGTCAGAGTGAACCAGGAAAAGGATGGCGGGGCATGGTGCCCGAAGCCCCTGGTGGCACAGGAAGCGACAGAGTGGCTCCAGGTTGACCTTGAAGATCTCAAGGTCATCACAATGGTGGAAACTCAAGGACGATACGGAATGGGGCAGGTTAGGAAGTGACAATGTGATGATGATGATGATGCTTGCAGCGATGATGGCGATGAGGACAACGTTGATGAAACTGATGGTGATGATGATGATGCTGCTGATGATGATGAAAGTAAAACATGACGCGCCATTGAAACACTTGTAACAACAAAATCACTTGCCAAACACGCACGCGCACACACACCCACACACACGCCATACTACTTTAATGTCTGTTCAAATATTTTCATAGACCATTCATTGCGTGACCTTTAACCTTTCGAGGTCAAAAATATTAGGTCACTAATTTGCTTGCTTAGATTCTTTTGATATAGTTTACTGTTTTAAAAATTAAAATCAACTGAGTATGAAAACTTTTCAATTGAAACTGGCTACTTACATAAAACAAAAGATTTTCTGAATGATAAGAATGTCAACAAATTACACAACCTTCGTCTGAAAAATGTCAATCAATCATATATTCATTCGTTCATTTATTCGTTTTTTATTTATTTATTCATTCGTTCGTTCATTCATTCATTCATTCGTTTGTACATTTGTACATTTTTATATTCATTCATTCACTTATTCAATCATTCATACAAAGAAAACTTTGTTCGACTAATTTATTTTAAAGTTCCGGGGCAATGAATGAATTTCTTAATGAGGTCATAGACGAAATTGAAATAAAATGAAACAAAAAAACAAACAAATATTTTAAATAATAATAAACAGACATAAACCGACTAATATACAAGCACATTAAACAGTCGTATGAGCATAAACAACCAGATAAACATTGTGGAATATGCATAAACATTTAAGACTAAACCAGAAGATGCAAACTCGCATAGCTGGCTAACAAATGATTTAAACGTTAAAGATCATGTCATGGTGGTTATCTGACGACAATATGTCAAATAATCTATACTACACGCACACACATACATACTCATACACACACTACACACACACACACACATACAACAACAAAAACTGAAAATATGAAAAAAATTCAATATCAAAAAATGAGGAACGAATAATTATGTACTCGGTATATAAGATAAAATACTATTATTCATAACCACACTTGTGTTTATGAGCGTGAATTTGTGTGTGTGTGTCTCTCTCTTTCTCTTTCTCTCTATATGTGGTGTGCGTGTGTGTGTGGTGTGCCTGTGTGTGTGCGTGTGTGTGGGCGTGTGTGTGTGCGTGTGTGTGCGTGTGTGTGCGTGTGCGTGTGTGTGATGAGAGCCTAGTGTACCCATATATACATATTTATGTCTTGACGGAATCAGAGCTTACTTTGCACATGTGTTCATCCGAAATAGCGTTTTCACTTGATTTTTTTTTCGTTTGTTTTTATCTTTGTCTTTTATCTTTCAATGTTTTTTTCATCATTCATTTGTTTCTTTGTTCATTCATTCATTCATTCAATCATTCATTCAATCAATTCATTTAATTCATTTAATTCATTCAATTCATTCATTCATCCATTCATTCATTCACTCACACACTCTTTTCTCCAACGATCTTTCAGCATTCAATTTCTTATTTCATTCTCGTCAGCGCGTAAGTATCAGATATCAGGGCATATTTGCATACACAGTACGTATGTTTGTATCTGTATGTGTGTCTGTATGTGCATCTGTATGTTTGTCTGTATGTGTGTCTGTATGTGTATCTGTATGTGTATCTGTATGTGTATCTGTATGTGTATCTGTATGTGTATCTGTATGTGTGCATAGGTATGCATAAGTCTACGTTTAGTCGTTTATCCGTATTTTTGAGATCGTTTTATGTGAATACGTATATGTATATTTGTTTTGTGTGTGTTTGTGTGTGTGTGCGCGCGCGTGTATGTTTGTGTGTGTGTGCGCGCGCGTGTGTGTTTTTGTGTGTGCGTGTGAATGTATTGACAAGATTTAAGCCGGACTCAGTTTCCAAACTGTTAACACTGCTCAATAATGCGCGCTGAATGACGCCACTCCAGTTAGAAAATATAAAGAAGTGCCTCGCCATCTGCAAACGCAACGAAAATTTTTTAGATAAAATAGATGCAAATAAAAAAAAGAACTCTTAAAATATATTGTTGAAAATTATATTATTTTATTACACAAAATTAATTGTCCGGCCAAAAGGTTAAAGCTTCATGAATTAAAAATAATTTTCAATCAAACCTATGGAAGTAGAGGTTGTATAAAAATACTTTAAAACTTACTAAAATTACTCGACAGCAACTATTTTCAGTTTTGGCGTTGGTGTTAATTAATATTCGGTCAAATTTTCACTGAAGAGACAAACCGTATCATTTATTCGATTCGGATCGGTTTTTTATAGATATTTTATACTGAATTCTCGCGTGTAGTCATAAAATATAAAAGGTGGCCAGCACTCAATTTATATCCTCACAGTTTGACACTTACAACGTGCAATTTGCATAGAAAGATGAAAAAGCCCGACGAAAACTAGTCACACACACACACACCACACACACACACACACCCACACACACACAAACAAATCTACAAATATATACATATATATACACATACATAGATACATGTATTGTTTGTATTGTATACCCATGCACAATCAAACGTGCGTACATACAAGTATTTGAGTACATAAAAAATACAATTTACACAAATATACCCGTGCCACGCACTTAATTACGCATTCATACGCACGTACGCCGCAAACAAACACGGAGCAAACGCCCACGCAAATTGTAAACCACAGGCAGACAGACACGAAATCACAAACACAGAGACGAACACACACGAACACAAAGAAGAAATAATGTATCTTGTATATTGTGTATACATTATGTGTACAGATGTTTGTTTAAATATGATGAAAATGCATACATATACATATATGTCTTTGTATTTGTATATGTTTGTGTAAATGTATGTAATGTTTAAAAAATACAAATCCATAAACACACATTTAGCACATAGTTCATTTTTCCATCTACAAATACTAATGGAAAATCAATGTATGTGTATATGTTTGTGTAAATGTATGTAATGTTTAAAAAATACAAATCCATAAACACACATTTAGCACATAGTTCATTTTTCCATCTACAAATACTAATGGGGTCAATTCTTCTGATATACATACATACACACAAACAAACAAACATATATACATACATACAAACAAATATACAGACAAACAAACACAAACGAACAAACAACAAACATATGTGTTCATCAATGTGTGGCATAGCCTGTGGTCAATGTAAGCATGTGAAGTTCACAAGTTACGTTTTTTGTTGACGTTGATGTTGATGTTTTGATGTTGTTGTTGTTGATGTTGTTGTTGTTGTTGATGTTGCTAGCATTTTTGTTACATTTTTAGCTTTTGTGAGTTGTATATTCAATCATTTATTCCCTCATTCATTCATTTTTCATCCATTCATTTTTTTATTCATTCATTTTTTCATTCATTCATCTTTTCATTCATTCATTCATCTGTTCATTCAATCATTCATTTATTCGTTTATTCATTCATCCATCCATTCATTCATTCATTCACAGCTCACAAAGCAAACACGATTCTTCACTTTGATAAAAGGAGAAGTTGTATTCATAAAAAAATCATTGTTTATAAGGATATGCCCGTATCATTATCATGCCCGCTATCACACACACACACAAACACACACACGCACACACACACCCACATCACGCACACGCACACGTACTCGCATATACAATAATGTTTAAATTATGTTTATGTTATATACTCTAATTCACCTACAAACACGCACATGTACACACACGTACACACACGTTCACGTACACACACGTACACACACGTACACACACGTACACGTTCACGTACGCACACGTACACACACGTTCACACACACACACACACACACGTACGCACTCGTTTAGATTTTAAGAAATATTCTTTTTAAATTTTTTAAAAATCTTCTAAGATTAAAAACATATTAAAATATAGCTGGCAAAGATTTTTTGGTTTAAAAGTATTGATAGAGAATAAAAAAACGAAATAAAATGAATAGAGAGATGAAATGAATGAATGAATAAAACGAATGAGGGAACTGAATGAATGAATTAAACTCCTTCAATCATTCATCTCGATATAATTTTCTGGTCAATATCATATAAGTCGGCGCCCTGCTTATCAAAAAGAAAGAAATAAGTCATCATCATTATCATAATTACTATTTCAACATCATCATCATCATCGTCGTCATCACCATCATCACCACCATCATCATCATCATCATCATCAACAACAACATCATCATCGTCTCCATCATCACCATCATCACCATCATCACCATCATCACCATCATCATCATCGTCACCATCACTATCACCATCATCATCACCATCATCAACACCACCACCATCACCACAGGGCCAGGAGTTCACCCCCCACTACATGTTGGAGTACAGGAGGGACAACGCATCGAACTGGATCAGATACAAGAACATAACCGGTGGAGAGGTAGTAATGATGATGATGACGGTGATGATGACGATGATGATGGTGATGACGGTGGTGCTGGTAATGATGATGGTGGTGCTGATGATGATGGTGCAGATGATGACGATGACAATGGTGGTGGTGGTGAAGATGGTGATTCCGGTAGGAATGTAAAAAAGAAAGAAATTTGATAAAATGTACTAAGAGAGAGAAAGGATAGATGAAAAATAAAAAAACAGAAAGAGTGAGAGAAAGAGAGAGAGAGAGAGAGAGAGAGAGAGAGAGAGAGAGAGAGAGAAAGAAAAAACGGGAAAAATTGAGATAAATACAGAAAACGAAAAACTGAGAGAGAGAGAGAGAGAGAGAGAGAGAGAGAGAGAGAGAGAGAGAGAAAGAGAATAATGATAAAGTGGGGACATTTTAGCGGAGATATTGCGTTTGAAGGGTGCATTTCAATGTCCACTCCAGAAATACGCAACGTGTGATGTCTCCAATATAGACAAACACTCCAGATGCTTTGATGAAGATGACGATGATGTTGATGAAGATGACGATGATGTTGATGAAGATGACGATGATGACGATGATAATGATGATGACGATAATAATGATGATGATGATGGTGATGATAAACTGGTGACAGCATTGACAAGGACATTGGCGATAAGGAGGTTATTAATATATAAATGATTGAAGGCTGGATTAGCAAAATGCGAATGGAAGGATGATGACGATGGTGATGAAGACGGCGACAATGATGATGATGATGATCATGAAGATGATGATGGTGGTGGTGCTGGTGATGAAGATAGAAAAGAGGAGAACGAGAAGGATGACAATGACGATGATGACGACGATAATGATGAAAATGATGATGGCGATGAAAATTTGTACAGCTAAGTGAGATGCCAATCTTGCATTAATTATGACATCATCCTCGCTGATTGTAATTTTATAAGACTGTTTGTTTACAAACAGACAAACAAACAAACAAACTTACAAACAAACAAACAAACGCCATACAAGGCAAACAATACAAAAAAAAACTAAATGTCAACAGTGTTGATGAAGGAAAAAAATTTTAATGCATATAAATTAATGCTATGGCTCTTCAGGTTAAAACAACCTCTGAAAATAAATTGAGTTTAGCCCCTTGGCATAAAAAGATAAACAAATGAATGAGTGAATGAATGAGTGAATAAATGGATGAATGAATGAGAAAATGAATGAATGGATGAATAAATGGAAAAATGAATAGATGAATGAATGGATGAAGGACTGAAGGAATGATTGAATGAATGGACATTTGATGTTTTTATATTTGGCTGGACGATGAATGGTTTTACAAACGTACATATTATTATAAGCAAATGAACGAAAGAATAAATGATCGAGTGAATGAATGGATGAATGAATAAATGAATGAATGAAAGAATGAAAAAATAACAAACTAAGAACGACAAAAGAACGAAGAAATGAATGAGTGAACAAATAAATGAATGAACGACTGATTTAACGAGATATGCCTCTATCTAGCATTGATAATAAACTTTCAAATTAGAGTAAATTCAAATTAGAAACAGAAAAATCTAAAACCGAGGAGTAGAAATAAAAATATGGAAACACAAAAACGTAAAAAAGTCAACCACAGTAACAAAAGTATGGCAAGCTGAGAGCAATTTTGTTTTCAAAAAAAATTTTAAGGGGTAGATTTCATAATAATTGCACGTCAAAAAAATTTCAGTGGCTCTCAGGATAGATTACAAAACTGCGGCCAATAATAATAATAATAATAATAGTAATAATAATAATAAAAATAAAATAATAAAACAAATCATCATCACTGTCATTCTGATATCACTGTTATAAATATCTACGTTATCATTATTGCTTTCATTTAAAATAGTTCAAGTTAAACGTCATCATCGTCATCATTATCACCACTGTGCCCCTTATCATCATCGTCTTCGTCGTCGTCGTCGTCATCATCATCATCATCATCGTCGTCGTTATCATCATCATCATCACCCCTGTTGCTTTCTTGCAAGCACGCACATTTAAAGGATGGTTCTGTCACTGGTGGTCATGTAATTATTGTTGTGGATGTTGTGGCTGCTGTTGTTGCTGCTGCTGCTGCTGCTGCTGAGGGTGATGATGTTGTTGTTGTTGTTGTCGTTGACGATGATTGTTGTTGTTGTTGATGTTGTTGATGATGATGTTGTAGTTGTTGTTGACGATGATGTTGTTGTTGTTGAAGATGATGTTGCTGCTGTTGTTGACGATGATGATGATAATGTTGTTGTTGACGATGATGTTGTTGTTGTTGACGATGATGTTGTTGTTGACGATGATGATGTTGTTGTTGTTGATGATGATGTTGTTGTTGACGATGATGTTGTTGTTGTTGTTGACGATGACGATATTGCTAGCAACGATGATGTTGTTTGTCGTTGTTCTTGTTGACGATGTGATAAATAGTGAAAACAGAAACACACATATGTCGTCTGTCTATGTGAAACTGAAATGTCCAAATGTTATTACCACTTAGTCGTCGTTGGAGCTGTCTGTCGCGATCGTCGTCGTCATCGTCTCTTCACAGCAATGCCTCATGACATGTGTGACTTTCACTCACTCACTCACCACTCACTCACTCTCTTATTCACTCACTTATTCACTCACTTATTCACTCACTCACTCACTCACTCACTCACTCACTCACTCACTCACTCACTCACTCACTCACTCACTCACTCACTCACTCACTCACTCAATCAATCAATCAATCAACTAATCACTCACTCACTCACTCACTCACTCACTCACTCACTCACTCACTCACTCACTCACTCACTCACTCACTCAATCAATCAATCAATCAATCAATCAATCAATCAACTAATCAATCAATCACTAATTCTATTACTCACTCCCTCACTCACTAACTCACTCATTCACCCACACGTCACAATGACGTGAAAGTTATCACCCCATCATCGCGGTCACATCTATCGTTCATCCAGGCATAGCGTGGCTTGGAATGCATTTTTCTAGCGCGCAACACACTTCCGGCTTCACTTTACATCTGCGTTACTTTACAAACATGGCGGTATGTGCATTTTTCTAGCGCGCAACACATTTCAGGCTTTTCTTAACCATACGTATGTGTGTGTGTATAATATAATGTATGAAGTTGCTTATCTACTATTCTTTCATTTGTTTATGCAAATGAGGTATCATTTTTACATTGGCAAAATAATTTTACTCAGTATAAAATGGTAAATTGATTGAATAAACGAACGAACGACTGTTATCTATGTTGTGTTATCGTTGTTGTTGTAGTAGTAGTTGTTGTTGTTTTTGTTATTGTTGTTGTAGTTGCTGTTGTTGTAAATTAATTGTGAAATAATGAAAGTAATTGCCAACAATGTACAGTGTCTATGGATTAAAACTTCTTTTGTGCCATGGGGTGCAAGGACATTATTTTCCCGCTATTTTCATTTTCCGGCCACTTTTATTGCCTTTTCTACAATATTTCATTTTGTTTTGGTACCTTCCGAAATTCTCAATGACATATTAACGATGTCGTTACGACGCTGAAATAACAAACACCCTGGACAGTGGCCGGTCCAGAGGGGACAGCTTTGACGAGGGGGTGCCAAAAATTTGAAAATGTTTAAT